CATTGCTCTCCGCTACTTTCTTGCTCGTGAGCTGCAGCAGCGTGGCCAGCTGCGTCTTGCGTACGTGGCCTCTGAGGCCAACACTGCTGATATCTTCACCAAGGCGCTTGCGCCTTGTGACCATCAGCGCTTCTGTACTCAGCTGGGCCTTGTGCCTACCTTGCCTCACTTGCTCACCTCTTGACCGTGCTTGTACTGTTATATATATATATACCTGCTCTTGCTTGTCTAGCCTTTTTATATATATGTACTCCTGCATGTGAACTGGCCTTGTGGCCTTGAACTTGTGCTCGGAATGTGTGGTGACTTTGTGATCCACCCTGAGCTTGCTTTGCTTTGCTTTACTTGACTGGTCTTGTGACCCCTTGTTCTCCCCCACTTTGCCTATGGGGGTGTGTCAGAACATTATAGCTCATGCATATTGTGTAGGCTATAGTGGGGTAGCCCATAAGGGGTACAACCCAATTAGGGTCATTACTCTTACTCAATTCATTCATAGTTGATCCATTCCTCGTTTATTCTCAAGGCGAACAACGGCTGCGATGAACATGCGAGCGGTCTCCTCGGCTGAGATCGACTTTTTGCACGCAGCGAAGTGTGCCATCTTCGTCAACCTGTCAACGACGACCATCACCGTGTCGTTACCCCCAGGGTTCGAAGGTAACCCTGTGACGAAGTCCATGGTAACCTGCTGCCAGGCGCGGTCGGGCGGTGGTATCGGCTGCAATTGACCCACCTTCCGCTTCCTCGAGCTCTTCATCACCTGACACGTGGGACACGAGCCTACGTGCTGCTGCACGTCGGTGAACAGCTCCGGCCAGTAGTAATACCGCTGCAGTTGCTGTCGCGTTTTTTCTACCCCAAAATGTCCCGAGGTAATTCCGTCGTGTGCCTCCTGCAGTAGCAGCTCCCTCAGTAGTGAGTACGCGGGTACCCAGATGCGGTTGGTGCCCGTTTTTACGTAATAAACTCCCTTAGCTTCTGCCAGTTGCTGTGAGTTTCCGGTCGGGAAAAATGGGTCGGTGCGGTATCCGTGGGTGAATAGGCCTGTTAAAAGCGGGTTGGTTTGGGCGAGTAGGATGGCATGGAGTTGGGGAGTAGGGCGGGTGAGTGCGTCGGCGATGTTGAAGGCGCCTTTTTTGTACGTAACCGTGTAGTGGAAGTTGGACTCGAGGTAGTCCAACCAGTGAATCTGTCGCGGATTGAGATTTGGTTGGGCACGCAGATAGTGTAGTGATCAGTGGTCGGTCCGTACTGTCACGTCGGCGCCAGTCAGATAACACCGCCAAACCTTGAACGCGTGCACGATCGCCGTCATTTCGCGGTCGTGTATCGGGTAGTTGCGTTCGGGCGGGTGCAGCTTGCGGGACTCGTACGCGATTGGCTGGAGGCCGTTCCCGAAATCCTGCAACAGTACTGCTCCCACAGCGATGTCACTTGCGTCAGTGACGAGCTCGAACGGACGGTGCGGATCTGCGATGTGAAGCACGGGCGGTGAGCACAAAATGTTTTTGAGGGCCGAGAAGGCAGCTTGCTCTTTCTCCCCCCACGTGTACTCAACCCCCTTCCTCAGTAGGTCGGTCAACGGGGCAGTCAGCTTCGCCATGTCGGGGACGAACCGGCGCACATAGTTGACGAACCCCAAAAAACTCTGCAACTCGGTCAAGTTGGTCGGCGCGTGCCAGGCTTGAATCGTCGCAATTTTTTTCGGGTCTATTTCCACTCCTGCAGCTGAAATAACGTGTCCCAAAAACTCCAGGCGGTCCTGTAAAAACTCACACTTAGACGCTTTTGTCAGTAGGCGGTTCTCACTTAGTATCTTAAAAACTGCTTCGATGTCCTGTAAGTGCTGTGCTCTGTCGGGGCTGTAAATCAGTATGTCGTCCAGATATACTATGACGCACTTATCTAAGAGCGGGCGGAAAGCTTCGTTCATGGTCATTTGAAAAGTGGCGGGGGCGTTGGTCAGTCCGAAGGGCATGACGGTGTGTTCGAAGGATCCGTAGCGTGTGCGAAATGCGGTCTTAGGGCAGTCGGGCAGATTGACGCGAATCTGGTGGTAACCCCCTCGGAGGTCGATTTTCGAGAAAACCCGGGCTGTGCGCAGTTGGTCGATCAGTTCGTCGGCTCGCGGGATGGGGCAACGGGATTTGATGGTAACCCTGTTTAGTGCTCTGTAAACTATGCACATGCGAAATCCCCCGTCTTTTTTCGGTGTGAACAGTATCGGTGCTGCGAAGGGCGACGAACTAGGGCGAATGAATTCCTTCTCGAGCAGGTAATCGAGCTGCTTCCTCAGTTCGTCCAGTTCGGGTTGGGTCAGTCGAAATTGTCGCTGTACTGTCGGCTGTGCCCCTGGTTCTAGTTCTATTCTGTGGTCGTGCGGTCGCTGAGGTGGCAGTCCCGTTGGCAGGTTATCCGGAAATATCTCCCTGTACTGCTTCAGGAGTGCTGCCAAGTCATCCGGTACGTCGGCAAGCAGTTTCTGTAAATCCCCTTCCTGGTCTGCTGCTTCGGCTTCCCGAATGTCAACCGCATACACGTCAGCTCCTGCCGCTTCGGCGCGCTTCATTGTGATCGCGTTGACACGCACCGACGAAGACTCAGGCGAGCCCCAGCGAGGTAGGGCAATTTTGTTACCGTTCACTCGCACGGTGCAGTCACCCGTCGTCCAGTCGATTCGCGGATTGTGTCGTCGCAACCAATCCCGACCGACTAAAATGTCGGTTCCGTCGAGGGTTGTCGCGAGCATTTCCTGGCTAAACGTGAAGTTACCCCCGCATCGAATCCGAACCCAGTCTACGCGTTCCCGTATCGCCAGCGGTGTGCCGATTACCAGTCTTCCGTCGATCTCAGGTAAACATCTGTCCAGTGGCAGTCGCAGTTTTCGTGCTGTGGCAGTGTTGATAAGGCTGTGGCTGGCTCCCCCATCTACGAAGATTTTTACCGAGTCCGTCCCAATTTTCCCACTAAGCAGTATGGGGCTGTCTACCGTAGTACCCTCCTTATTCGGCCGGCTGTGGTTGATTGCGTGAACCGGCACAATCACTCGGTGAGGGTCGGTTGGGTCGGGCGAGCGGCGTGACCTGTCAGTAGAGGGCCCGTCTGCTACTGACTCCCAGCGTTTCCCTACTGCTTGGTCTGTTTCTGCTGCTCAGCTTCCCCCTTTCCCTTAGCGTTTTCCGGGCATTCGCTCTTGCGATGTCCCGGCTGATTGCACGCAAAGCAGCGCCCTTTGAACGGTGCGGCAGCGGCATTTGCGGCGACGGCACGTATCGTAGCGCTCTCGTTCGTCCCACGAGACCGATGTCCCCAATGGCTGCTTCCGTAGGACCCCGGTCTCGGTCGGCGGAAGAAATCAAGTTTCTCCGCCATAGCGAGAATTTCTTGAAAGTCGGTGACGCCGCGAAGCTGGATTTCCTGAGCGATGTCCTGCTTCAGGCCGCCAATCTAGCGGTCGATGCGCTCGCTCTCGTGCATATATCCCACCTGCTCGCATAGCGCCAGAAATCCGCTCGTGTAGTCTTGGACGGAACCGAGTTGGCGCCAAGTGCGGAGCTTCTGTCGCGCCGCGATCGAAGCCGCGATTGGCTCGAAACGAGCGCGCAGACCTGCGCACCACGCGTCCCACGTGCGATACTGGGGCACCTCCACGAAATACGACGGCGCCCAGGGTCCGGTTTGTCCTTCCCGTGTCGGTAGAGTCGCGTAGTCTAGCGGCTTCGTGACGATGACGCGCCACCAATCCATGGCGGGTCCTCGCAGCAGCGACACGACGTAGCGGATTTTCGCCGTATCCTCCGAGACGTAGTTGGCGTCAAAAAATACATTCATCGTGAACAACCACGCCTGAACGGTAGGACCACCCCTTTGACTGGGATCGAAGCATGGCGGACGCTGCGGCTTCAGCGGCATCAGTGACGGCAGTGCCAAACCGTCGGTTGGTGCCGAAATTGTGACGCGTGGCTGGCTTCGGGCCGCATTCGTCGCTTCGGGGTGTGTCGTGCCGTGGTCGTCGTCTCCGTCGGGGCGGACGTCGCCATCACTGGCCGCGCTCGCGGGTTGCCCCACGCTTCCGTGTTGTGATGCTTGTGGTGCGGGCTGTTCCGGAGTGCCAGGTGCTTGAGATTGTGCTTGTTGTGCTCGTGTGAGGTCATTTTGCAGGGACGAACGTTCTGCCGTCAGCGTCGCGATTTCCTCGGCGCTCTCGCGGATTTGTCGCAGCAGATCGTTCAAGTGCTCCTGCGTGAGAGTCGTGATATCGATATGCTCAGCCATTTCGAAGGTTGTCGGCTCGTCTTAGTCTATGCGCAGTCGTGGCTGCACGCGTTTGCGAGAGAACGCGAGGACAACGGCTCCTAGGTGCTAAGGTGCGTGAGTCCCTTCGAGTGAAAAATCAAAAGTTGATTTCCTGGGGTGCGGAGATGCGCGGTCCGAAAGAAAGAGGCTCTGATACCAAGTGTTACGGGTGCAATGGATCGAGGTAGCGAGGATTGCACTAAAATGTCAAACGAGTACAAAGATGTGAGCGAAGACATGAGCAAATATTTATACGCGAAACATGCAAACGGTAACACGGTGCGTGCGAGATAGCTAGTGCTACGCTGGCAGCGAGGCTCGGGCTAGTCCCGAAGCATAGGCCGACACGGCCGGGCCAACAGTGCGAGGTTTGGCAAAACAGTGCGCGCGAGGTTGGCGAAGTCCCGTTAGCAGTAACGGGCGAACAACGGCTGTTGCTGTACGCGATGTAGTCGCGCTCCGTAAGGAATGCCGAGAAAATTCCTTACACTTGCATAACCATGACCATGACAATACTTTTGTGTTCTGCTACTACTCAACGTGGCATGAGTGTAGACTCTATGCTTATTTTACTTCCGCCATAAAGATCAACATAACATACCATGCCATTGAAAGCAAAAGTGAGAAGGAACAAACAAATGGAGATACCTGCGAAACAAACCATTCATACGCTGAACCATCCTTCCAGTGCAGTAACTCTGCTATCTAGAAAGAGTAAGCTTGGAGAAGGCAGTGGCAGCCTGGTCCACGCCTAGAAGCAGGTATGGGTGGCGCAGAGCCTCTGCAGCGGAGAGGCGTCCCTTGCGCCAAGTGCCTCTCTCGCACACAAGGCGTGTAGCAAGATCCCAGCCTGCCCCGCCCTCCAGATCCAGCACGCGCAGGTCGGGGCGCATGCGCGTCTCCCGGCGCCAGCGCTTGAGGTCATAGCGCGCTGCCCTGAGCTCCTTCTTGAACGTCTGCAGGCCCGCTGGCGAGCGCAGTGTGGGCGATGCCATTTGCAGGAAGATGATGCCCACACTGTACGTGTCAAACAGGTCCGGGTGGTTCAGCTGGTGGAATGGACGGGGCACCACACAGGACAGGGCAGACACTATGTTAGGGACAATGAGGAGAGGTCAAGAAAAGAACGGTGGAAAGGGAATGGACAGTGAGCAGCTAGGAGATTGAAGTCCTGAGACATACCTGCCAGAGTGCTGGGGAGAGCATGGCAGCGATGGGTGCTGCAGGTGGGCTGGGTGTTTCCTCAGGCAGCACAAACTGCTCCGGGGGGGCATAGTCAGGGTCGAGCAGGGCGAGCTCGGGCTCGTAGTTCATGCCAATGCGCAGGTCAGCCGCGGCCCCAAAGTCAATCAGCTTCACACGGCCGCTGTTGGTGAGCACGAGGTTGGAGGGCTTGAGGTCGCGGTGCACGATGCCCGTGGCGTGCATCTTCTTGAGTGAGATGAGCACCTGGCGCAGCACCTGCTTCACTGTCACAGCCTGCCGTGCCACGGGGTCCAGGCCCTGCAGCACCACCTGCCCGCGGCCAAAGATGGCCTCCTCCACGTTGTCTGGGAAGTCCCTGTCGCGGATGTAGTCCAGCAATGTGCGGTCGCCCTGCCATCACACCACCACACATTGCCAATTGATGCTGCCGCAGTGAGAATCGCTTATACGCGGCTATACAGCACGCACTGAAAGTGGCAATGCCGAAGATGCCATGGCCTTTAGGACAGAAAAACAATGCAGTGAGGTGATTATGCAAAGATGAGGGAAGAGGGTTGGCTGACCTCATAGTTCCAGACGAGCCACTTGCCCCCTTCAGTGAACTGGGCACGAGTGACATCAGCAGTGAAGGAGCCCATGAAGCGTGCACAGGCCTCAGGTGCCACGCGCTGCATGCGGCGGTTGAACCACTCCTCCATCTCCCCACTCTGCTCCCCTCCCATCACCCTCGTCTTCACCTGCACTCCAGCGCCAGTCGCAGGGGAGGGGACACACGGTGTGAGGGAACAAGGGGTAGCTGTCGTGCACATGGGGTCAGGTGAGATGCTGAAACAGGGGGCATGCATGGAGTGGGCGGGCGGAGGGCACCGAGGGATGCCGGGGGAGGAGACAATGAAAACAGAAAGCGAGAGAGGCACGAGGAGGTGAGAGGAAATGCAGGGGTGGAAAGAGTTTGAGAGAGGAGGGAGGGTGGTTGGGAGAATTAACCATTTTCAAACGATAAATGGATGAGGGAAAGCGATCGAGCTAGAAACAGGGAGAGGTGAGAAGGAAGGGAGGTGAAAAGAATGAGGGGGAAGGGGGGGTCTGGGCGGTGGGCGAGCAGAAAAGTGGAACGTGCATGGGACAATGGGGTACCTTTTTGAGAATGACTCGGCTCTTGATCTCGCGCTCATCGAGGTCTTCCAGCTGCCTGGACCTGCGCCCAAACTCCTCCTCCTCGCTCGCCTTGCCCTTCTTCTTCAGCGCGCCCTGCACCGCCACAGTCACGCCCAGCGGGAGAGCACACAAGGCGCTCAGCGCGTGCGAGGCAGCCATGCAATGCGTGCACAACCCTCAAGCACTCTGCACTCCTGCCTGCTCTGTCTAAGCGCCCACTGTGTTTTTGGAACCCCGCTACTGCATCCTTCCATCATGCCATCGCACAATCATGCCAAACAATGTTCGTGCTAGTCACAGCGTGGGTTTGAGTTCCAATGGTTCTTTCCATCTTTGCCACATTCCTGCACAACTTCATCAAGCCCGCTTGTTAACATATCACTGCTTCTTCCCCTCACCACTTCCCCTCCTACATCCCCCTTTCCCCCACCGCGTCCCCTTCCTCACCGCGTGCACCCTGCACCCATCGTACCTCGTACACGGTGCCGAAGTTTCCTTCCCCCAGCCGCCGTCCCACCACGAAGTCCGTGCGTCGGAACTTCCGTCGGCCCCTCACCGTGTCGCTCAGCGACTGCAGCGGCGCCGCAATATACGCATCCAGGGCGCCGGCCAGCACGCCGGGCCGCACCGTCAGGTACACGTACAGCGCGCCGGCCGCCGCGAGCTGCGCAATCTTGTCGTCGGCGGGCTGGCGCATGAAGTCCTTGAGCGCGGAGGAGAGCGCGATAAGCGCGTCCCCGGGGCGGAAGTCGGGGAACGTGATGTCGAGCTCCCCCCCCAGCAGCTCCAGCGCCTCCTCTCCCGCCTCCACCACGCTCTCCACTCCCCACCTCTCGCCCGCCACTTCGCCTCCGCCGCCGTCTCCCCAGGACAGCAGAGAGGAAGGCTCGCGCAGCAGGCGGAAGAGCGTGGGGTACTTGGCGGACAGATCCTCGCCGTCGCTGCTCGCGGGCGCTGCTAGCGCAGCGGGCGCAGAAGCGACTGATGGAGGCGCCGCGACACGGAGTGCAGGAAGAGGCGCGGGCGCAGGGCTGGTTGGCGTGTCGGCGGGAGAATCGGACTGGTTTGGCCAGTTGAGTGGCGGCAGCAAGTTCTGCAAGGCGCTCTGCAGCCCGCTCTCGAGTTCCGCTAGCTTCTCCCCTGCATCCGCCACCGCGTCTGCTGCAGCAGTCAACGCAGGGGCGGGCGCAGCAGCGGGTGAAGGTTCGGCGGGCTGCGCTTCAAGTGCGCGCATGCGGAAGGGGTTGCTCGCGCGCGCCACAATGTCGTCCGCTTCCTCCGCCGCCGTGTCGTCCCCGTCGCTGCCCTCCATGGCGCCCTGCATCGCCATGCGAATCGCATCCTCCACCGACCTCGGCGGCCCCATCGCATCCCCCAGCACCACCGCCTCCACCACCGCTGCCGCCGCGCGTACGTCCGCCGATGCCACGGATTGCTGCAGGCGCAACGACGGCTCGACAGCCGACAGCGACACGCTCATGACGGTCTCGGCATCGGCCGCCGCCGCACCAGACGGCGCAGGCGACGCATCCGAGAGCGGAAACGAAGCGGGGTCGAGGATTTGAGTTGGGAAGGAGAGGAGGGGCAATGGGAGGATGGTGGATTCAGGGCTGGATGCGGGCAGTGGCGCGACCTGGACTGCGAGCTCCAGCGACGACGGCAAAGGAGTTGGCGGAGAAAGGTCAGTCACGTCGGCAACCGCAGCATGCACGGCGAGCCCTCTCCTGCCGCGGCGCGTCCGGGAAGATCCAGAAGGCACCTGCAGCTCGCGCAACCCGCATGCACCAGCTCTCGCAAGCACGCCGTGTCGGAACCACGGACGGCTACCGCAAAAGTCGCTCTTACACTGTGAGAGCAGCGACAGTTGTCCTGCCGTCGAGCGGTGGACCGCCGTACTCGACGGCAAGGAGGCATCAGCGGCAGCCGGCAGCCATTGAAGAGATGCTGCTGCCATGGCTTGCCAAGGTGCGGTCACAATGGATCGCCGAAACAAGGTAGCTGGTCGAGTGCTGGGTAGGGTGGTTGTGATGTGAATGCAGCCAGACCATGCCTGATCTCCAGCACGCACACTGGCATGGTGCGAGGCGAGGGGGCAGTGCCCAGGAAGTGAGTGGGCTGGAAGGGACGACTGCAGGCGGGAGTGAACTGATGGACGTGGTGCGCTGCGCAGGTGCACGGACGAAGGCCAATGGATTGGCTCAATCTGGGGTTCATCCGACGTCAGCATTACAGTGTCTCAGAAGTGCCACATGGCATCCAAAACCGAGGTCAGTATTATGTATGATTTCCTTGTCACCGAGTACGACATACTATGAAACGCAGCAGCTTGTACAAGAAGGCCTTGTTGAGCAGGTTCTCCTCTTACAAGGAAAATTGGCCATAAAGTCTTAACTCTGATTTAATATTGAATCTTCGAAAAGTAGCTTTTGACAAACGCACTTGAGTAATAACCATGATTTGGTTCTTACATCTGGACGAAGTGAAGAATTAATTCAGGGTTGAAATTGTTAATAACTAGACCAATTGGTGTCCTGGTGTCCTTCCCTGACCAACTAGAGATCATTTTGCCAGGGGAAAGAAAATACCTGATTTCTCCTTGACTCTTATCTACGATACAGTGTCGGCTGACTTGCTTTTGCAAACTTCTAAGCACTATTCGAGAACAGGAATCGCTTGTCTCGGGTATGGAGTACCGGGGTGAACATTTCCCCTTGCCTTGACATTCCACACGAGGTCATCAGCCAGACTAATCTACATTTTGTGAGATTCGGGTGGCCGCTGTCATCCTACGCACCATTGCGACTGTTCCAGAGTACTCATCGTGAAAGTTTTGGCAAGTCTGAGAGACGGATCATGTTCTCGTGAAATTCGTGATCACACATTCACTTATGTCGTCGCGGCAGCGACAGTGGCGCGGCGACGGCGCGGGCCGAGTGGACCTCGCGCGGCGTCGCCGCCCCCTGGAACCGGTACGCCGCAGCCGTGGCGGCAGCAGCGCTGGTGGCACGCGTGCTGCAATTCGCCTCTATAGAACGTGGCAGGGGTTTTTTTTCGCTTGTGATCTGATTGCGTCACGTGTCCTCCCTGCTTCATGCATCCTGCTCTCATTCGTTACCGTTGCCTTCCCACGTCATTGAAGTCGATAGAATCTCACACCACATCGTCCCCGCCTCCACCTCCCGGCGTCCGACCCCCGCCAGCATCGCGGTGGGTCAGCAAAGCGTGCTCAAGGCGGCACTGCTGGCGGCGCTGGGCGCGGCGTGCTGCATCGCGTTTCTGCGCGCCGGCTTGCCGTTTCGCGACCACTCCACGCACTCAGACGAGGACTCCTTTCTCCAAGCAACTGTTCATCTGTTACCCTCGTCTCCGCACAACCCTCTATGTTTCCATCTCCTTCCCCTCCCCCTCCTCCCGTTCCATGTGCAACGCTCTCCCCGCTCTGCCCCTCCTCACTCAGCCGCACATCTGCCCCTTCTGCCCCACCTCTCCCTTCCGTTCCCCGCCTGCCTGTGTGCCCATTATCTTGACGACAGGCAGACGAGGGCGGTCAGGCGGGAGGCGTAGAGGAGGATGGGTGGCCGGTGATGGGCGGGGTGAGGTGGAGGGGGTGTGCGGGAGTAGCCAGCGCACTGCCTGCTGCCATGGGTGGGTCATTCGTGTTGGTAACTATCAAGCACGTGTGGCTGTTACTGTCACACGAGTGTAAAGGGCGTGACTCTCTCGTTTGGGACGCACCTGTGACTCGCGGCTGTGTGTTTGTTGTATCCCCTTCTTCTCTCCCGCACTCACCCTTTCTTCCATGTTCGCTCCAAGCACCTCCTTCCGCGCATGCATGCTTCCCGTGCTAACCTGCTGCCCATGTGCCCTGCTGTGAGCGCAGCAGGGAGAGGCGGGGAGGAGCAGGGGGGCTATCTGCTGGTGCAGCTCGCAGGGGGGCTCAACCAGATGCGCGCAGGGGTGGGTGGGGGGCTCTCAACCTCTCGCTCCCCGGCCTCATTCTCATGCTTGCCTCCGCCTCTGCTCTTCCTCACATTCTCCTTACTTTTGCTTTGCTGCCTTCTGCATCTACCCTACACTTCTCCCCACCCCTTCACATCCTCCCTCCCCCACTTCCCCTCACCCTACCCCTTTTCCCCCTCGGGCCTCCCATCCGTCCACCCCCTGGCCCCCCCGCTGTCCCCCATGCGGGGTGCAGATTGCGGTGGTGATGGCCAAGCTGCTGGGGGCGTCGTTGATGCTGCCACTACTGGATAACTCCTCATGGTGGGCCGACGGCAGGTGAGGCCCACGGCAAGTGAGAGGGTCATAAAACGTGGCCGTTGAGATGTGAGAATGAGAGTAGGAGAGCAGTACCATTGGTGTTGGTGGAAGAACTGCCTGATCACTATGTGCCTCCCTCATTCATCCCCCTACCTCCCCCACACCACCCACATCCGCTCTTCCTACACTTCCCACCCTCCATTTTCATCGTCTTTTCACCTGAACTGTTCCCTCTTCCCCTCCCCCCCGTTGCATACGTGTTTGACGCGGGGCACTTTGCGAGGGTGCTGGCGCCGTGGGTGCGTATGGTGGACCGCCTGCCCTCCGCGCTGCGACACCGCGCTGCCTCGACCGCACCGTGCCACGCGGTTCCACCGCCGAGTACTACGAGACACGTGGCAGGGCGATGATCAGGTGCTGTGCGAATCATGGCAGGTCGTCAAAAAGAAAAGCATGTGGTGTTGCTGTACGCATGCTTGTGGCAATCGTGCTGATAATGCTGCTGCTGATGACGGTGGCACGGAGTCAGTGAAGCACATGATAGCAGTAATTAGGCACTGCTGTTCCTCCTTGCTTCATCCACCCTTCCTATCCTTTCGCTGCTACCGCATCACTCCCCCCTGCCTGCTCTACTGCTTTCTCTTACCTATCTCATGCCTCACGCTCTGCTCTCTCCCTTCCCTCCCTGCCCCCCTCCCCACTGGCAGAAAGGCGCAGGTGCTGAAGCTGAACCATTTCGATTCCAGGCTGCATCACCAACTACCGCTGGACCTGCACAAGGTACCGGCTCAGAATTCTGTTCGTGTTCCAAGACTTCTTTTTTCTCCTTTCCATTCTTTCTTTTCGAGTGCGCTTATGAGTTCAATGGTACAGGTGCTGCGAATACAGAGATTGTCACGTGTTCATGTTGACTACTCTTGGGTGCTTTGGCGTGATTGCACGTTGGTAAACCACATGGCTTCCTACCTACCCCTCTCTCTGTCCCCCCCATCGCAGTTGCGCTGCATGGCAAACTACGAGGTGCTGTGCTTTGTGCCGGCGGTCACCCAAGCCGTCACGTGCCTCACCCTCGCCCTCACCACCCCTCCGCCACGCCCGCCTCCACTGCCCCCCACACTGCCGCACATGCTGCTCAGGCCGGCGGTGCTGCAAGAGCAGCGCAAGGTGCACAAGGGCAGGGGGGAGAGAGAGAGCAGGTGGAGGGAGGGATGCAGGCGAAGGGGAGTGGCAAGGCTGTCAAGTACGGTATGTTTTTGATTCATCTGAGGTGAGGCGGACATGGGGGTGACCATGACATGGGCATGGGACGAAAGGGGAATGGATGGTGACCTCTGAGGTTCTTACTATCCTGCGACCGGTGTGATTAACCTCACTCAATTGTGGCATGGCCATTCCCTTTCCAGTGCCTTCTGTGTTTCTTCGCCACCTTTTGTGTTCAAGAGACCATTTGCAAGTTCCATCTGTCTCTTGCCAAGCACAAGTCGCCATCCATTCAACTGCGCATGGTGCAATCAACTCATCCCATGTGCTCCCTCCATGCCATGCCATGCACATGTTGCGTGCCATGCGGCATGGCAGGTACGAGCCGGACATGCTGGCGTTCACAGGGTGCGAGTATGAGGGGGGCGCGGAGGAGAAGGCAGTGTTTGACTCCATCCGACAGCGCTGGGCCAACCTGCCCGCCATGGATGCCGAGAAGCAGAGGGCCAAGGGCGTGTGCATCGTCACCCCCTCCCAGGCATGTGCATCGTCACCCCCTCCCAGGCATGTGCATCGTCACTCCTTTGCATGCCATGCCATGAGCCACTGAGCACATGGGCAACTGTAGGCGGCATTGAGGTGCAGCATGCTCTCTACCACTGTTCAGCAACCCACTGCCACAACCGTCCACCCTCGCTCCTCTCCCCACAACTCCCCCGCTCCTCGCGCCTTCCCCTTCACCACGGACAAGCACTCCCTTGCACACTCCCACGCCATGGCCCACGCCCACACACGGGCACGGGATGACGACGAGGATGAGGGGGATGAGGCGTGGGGCGGGGGAGAGGGTGGGGGTGGGAAAGGAGGGGTGGGTGCGGAGGGCGGAGGGGCGTTGGCAGGGGTGGAGGGGCGCAAGACGCTGCTGGCAGCGGTGGACTATGAGATGTGTCGGGGGGTGGCGCTGCTCGTCACTAACAACAATGGCAACATGGCCCACCTGCTAGCGGGCCACAGGAGGTGCTGCCTGGGGGGAAGTTGCTGACTTGAGAGCATGCGAGCTTCGCAAACCTTTTGACTGCTGCTTGCCTTCTTTTCTCTCCAAGATAAGCCGACATCTCCCCCCCCTACCACAGCAACTCTCTTCCCCTCCCACTCCCTCCACTTCTTCCCCACCTCATCCCCTTTTCCGCCCCACGCACCCACCCCCTTAGGTACAACGGTGTGGGTGGCACGGTGCACCTCTTTGGCTCCTCCATCCACCGCCTCCTTGCTGCCATCCAACATGGGGATCACGAGACCTTTCAGAAGCTTCGCAATCGGCTGCTCAAGGGCGACCTTAGCACTCAGAGGGTGAGCAATGAGAAGGCTGTGGCGAAAGGAGGGTTTTATGCGTTTCCACGGGATTGTTTGTGTGAAGTCTGATTCTCTGGTTCCCTTCCGTAGGGTTACCAATTGATCATTGTCATGCAGTACTACAAACAGTTGCAATTCTCCTTGCTTGCGAGTGAGCACATGCAGTGATACTCACTCGCCAAAAGCTTCTGGTGTCACCTAAGAAACCACAAGTCCACTGGCTCACAGGTGCACACCGGCAGTGGCATGCACAACGGACCTATCCAGCAGCTCTGTGCTCACATTTCTCATCAGCAGTGCCCACAACTGGCTCCACACACGGTCAAACAGGGGTTCAAGCAGTGGTGGCATGGGAGCATGGCAGTGCATGGCTTGGGTCATGCAGGCGCTGGTGTTGGGGAGGGGCGCTTGGGGATGTCGCCCAGGGGTAAGCAGGTTCAGGGTTCAGGGGGTGAAGGTTCTGGCAAGAAGTGAGGGCAGGGTAATGCAGAGAGGAGAATATGAATGTGAATGGAAAGCTATGCAATGCAGGTGACCATGTGCTGGCGTGAATGAAACAGTGCGGTGGAGTTACGCGGGAGCAGCACAAAATGCAATTCATTGATCAGAATTGGTATCAGCGGATCAGTAATGGTACTCACATGCACAGGGGCAGGCAGACTCCATGCCTGGTGTCAGAGCGGCCGTCCTCTCACATGTACCCACACATGGTAGTTATGAGAAGACGTGCTTGCTTGCCATCACGGCCACGGCAGCTGGCGTGTCAGCGAGTGCCCGCATGGCATGGCTGGTGAGCTGGCGACAACGGTTCAGCCCCAGGCCTTGCCGCAACGGGCCGAATGCTGCAAGCGCCAATACAGATGCGTGTGACGGGCGCATGGAATGGGAGGTGCGAAGGGCGAGAAGATACACCAAAGCTTCTGAAACGTCATGGTGGCATGGCATGGCATGGCTGCAGTACTGGGTGCTTCTGAGACGCCCCAAAACAAGAGGGAGGCGAGGAAGGAGAAAAGATGCACCAGTACTTCTGTAGCGTGACGTGTGGCATGGAGTGGTGTGCTGTGACTCGCACGGTGTAGCATCGAGGGGCGTGCGGTGCCATGGAGTGCCATGGGGTGGCATGGAGTGGAATAGAGCGGCATGGAGGGGCATGGAGTGACATGGAGTGACATGGCTGTAGTAATGGGGATGGAGCAGACTGGTGTGAGAGGTAGGCGCACGAGGGGAGGCTGGCATGCGGATCGGCACATGCAGAATTGTCGATGCAACGCCATGCGTACAGCATGTGCCTTCTTGAACCCTGCTCTGCTCCCCACTTCACAGCACCCCCACTCACAGCTCTTGCTGCCACTCAGTTCCCTCCTTCGAGGAAACCACTCCAGTGCGAGAGAAAGGTGCACGTGCAATGCGGTAGCAGCCGCACGGATGGATCACCCTCAGCCCCCCCCACTCCCTGCCCACTCCCGCCACCCCTTGGTCGGATACCACATGGCTTGCCCACACGCGCACACAACCCATGGACTGCACTCTTCCACAAGCCCCAGCAACTGTGTTTCCCGTTGTACAGAGTGCGCAGCCAGGCTCACCGTCATGTTGTCGCCCTGGTGGAAGTGCAGCGCCGCGCCCACCAGCTCCTCGCTGAGGGCGTACGGGCGCACAACGGTTGTGGACAGCCCGCTGGCGCGCACGAGGCCCTCCCCGCGCAGCTCCCGCGTGAGGACGCCCCGCAGCTCATCATTTATGCGCACCGCTGGCGGCACGGCGGACGGCGGGGGGCAGAGAGGAGACGGGGTATTTGAAGCACGCCGGAAGTCGCTGGGAGGCGGTCGAGAAAGTGAGTGCAGGAGGTGACGCGAAGCGGCAGGAGAGGAAAGAGGATACATACGAAAGGTATTTCAACGAAAATTGGACCCATCGAAATTACCTGAGACGAATAGAGCACGAGATCGCGACAACTACTGGAGATCGAAACTACCCGTGCAGAAGGTTTGATTCGAATAGAATCCGTCTCAGCGCAAGACTCTGCCAGGTGATACAAACCCCCCATTTCCAGCTGTGTGGCCAGGCCAAGCCTCCGTGTATATTGGAGGGGGGAGGATAAGGAACATGGGTTGGAGGGCACTTGGTGGTTGTGGGCGATGATCGGCATTTTCGATTTGACCTGAAAACAAACAGGTGTGGTCTGATTGGCGACATTGTCGGGGTGACTAGGATGCCTTAGGGCAAATCGAAGCCAACTGGCGAAGGGCGGGCAAGAAAACTGGACTGTACATTGGTCGGTCGAACCTGTGGGGAAGTAAGGTGGGTAACCTGGCTGGAGCAGAAAAACTCGAGTGCACTGGAGGGTTAGCCTCGCGTTTTTGAGTTTTTATACGGGCCGTCACAAAACATTTCGTAGTTATCACGAGCAGTCACATTTTCCGCAAAATCTATCATGAACGGTCTCATGTTCTGCCACATCTATCACGAACCATCACATGGGTATCACCCGCCGTCACTGAAAGGCACTAAATTTTCTCACAGGTAGTCACACTCGAAACTTTGCTATCACAGATGAACCCTCTCATCATTTCGTTGACCCGCCTTGTAAAACTGTACAGATTTAGGGACTATATTTCGGGTTGCTGGTTTTTGTCTTGTATACGCGACCATTTTGGGTGCTAAGATACCTGGTTGCGTTCGATTCGACGTAACACACTTTAGTTCTAAAAAACTTATGAATAAGTTTGAATGCAAATATATATATATATATATACATATCGCTAGAGTTCACAATTAATTGAATCTGCCTAAATGTTTATAAAGATGTTTATACGCATCTTGATATGGATTTCGGCATGTGAACATTCCAATTTATGTTTTTTTAGCATCTTGATAAACATTTAGGCAGATTCAATGAACTGTGAACTCTATAATATATATATGATATATATATATGCGTTCAAATTCATTCAAACAGTTTTTAAATCTAACGTGTGTTACTTCGATTCGAACGTAAAATGGTCGCGTATACAGGACAAAACCAGCAACCCGAAATATAGTCCCTAAATCTGTACAGTATTACAAGGCGGGTCAACGAAATGATGAGTGGGTTCATCTGTGATAGCAAAGTTTCGAGTGTGACTACCCGTGATAGAATTTAGTGCCTTTGAGTGACGGCGGGTGATACCCGTGTGATGGTTCGTGATAGATTTGGCGGAACATGTGACCGTTCATGATAGATTTTGAGGAACATGTGTCTGCTCGTGATAAATACGAAATGTTTTGTGACGGCCGGTATAAAAACCCCGCGTTTTTTCCCAGGCATGAAAAGCCACGCCGCATATTAGGGAGACTGCACGTGCCAATCAGCGCGAAGCACGAAACTCGAGTTCCAAGTTCCAACCCTAACCTGCTGCTTCAGCCACTTGAGCACCGTACATCCCTTGGCCTCGCAAATCACGCCCTCTTGTACGCACCTTTCTCACATAGCTGTTGTGAGCTTCTCGTATGCTGGCTCTTCCCTGTGTTTCATTAGCATAAGCTGGAACCTTAGATTCTGGAAACTCGTACACGGAGTTCTAAGAGGCCGCACCCGCTGTCCAACGTACTGTGTGTTAGTCGGTTGCGTGAGGCGCCCGTGTGACTACTCCACGTCCCAACCGGACCTACTTGTCAGTGTCATGTGGTCAAAGCTTTTTTCGATACGATGAAAGAACACCAGTTTTCAGTTTACCTGGAACTCTTTTCTCGCACTCCTTTCCTTTCCCATCTTTCTTTAGCTTACCTTTCCAACCCTTCACTTAATTGGTTAACCGTCTCTTTCTTTCTCTCTCGCTCTCGCTCTCACCCTCGAGGGTTTTTTTCGCCGTAACTTCGTGCAATGTGTGTTTTCTTATCTGTTTCGTGTTGCACCGCAGGCTGCACGTGGTGGGCGTCGTTCGGCGCGGTGAGCGAGATAACACGGCGGTTACACGCAGCGGGACGTACCCATGGACACGGGCACTGGCGGCGGGCCATCGGGGATGGACATGGGGCATGGGGGCGGAGGCTTGGGTAGTTCCGGTGGAGGGATGGGGCACCTGAATGCCGGAGTGCCAGGGCTGCCGTTCGGCGATCTAATGAACCAAATATCCGAGTATCCTCCGAAGAAGTTCGGCCATCGTCGCGTGGCCAGCGATAGCCTGCAGGGCTTTTGTTTCGGCAGCGGCGGCAGCGGGGCGGGGAGCGACGCGATACTGTCGGACGACATGGACGTGGTGGCGGCGGCGGCGGGAAAGGGCGTGCACATGGGGAGCGCCATGGAGCACGCGCTCTTCGCCGACATGGTCGACATGGGCGGCCTTGGAGGCACTGCCTCGCTCGCTAACCCTTCTGCTGCTGCCGCTGCTGGCGGTGCTGCCGGAGGGGGCACGTCGTATCAGGCCGGCCATCACCGCGCGGACAGCGCGGGCAGCGGAGGGGCCGCCAGCAGCAGCGGAGGCGCGGGAGCGGTTGGCGGGTCGGCTGGCGGAGGTGGTGGCGTTGCGGGCGGGGGCAGCTGGGCTAGCGGGAGCCACGGCGGCGGTTACGGCGCGCAAGGTGGCGGGCAGACGGGGGCAGTGGGGGGCTATCATGGCGGGCATGCGGGACATACCGCAGGGGCGCGCGGGGCTCCAGGCGGCAGCGGTGGCGGCGGAGGGCACTCGCGGAGCTTTTCCGTGGACGACGCGTTCATGTTCAAGGCGGGCCCCATTCGGGACTCGCTGAGCCCCATCTGCAGCCCGCTCAACGGCAGCAGCCCTCTGCGCCGGGGCGGGCGGCGCGCGGACGGCGGGTTGTCGATAAAGGACGAGGTGGACGAGCTGGACGACGAGGACGCCGTGCGGCGCGTCATGGCCACCAAGAAGACGGCTGCTGACAACGAGGTCATCGACGCCAAGAAGGCCAAACGGTACGCCAAACCGTAATCTGCCAAACCGTGATTTGCGTTGCTGTTCCACAGGAGGCGTCACGGCCCAGAGGGAAGAGTGGAAAGGCAAGCTTTGCCCTGTATTCTCGGACCCGCATCTGCTTGGATAACTCCTGAAGTCTTTAGGCACGGTCAGTTCTATTGGGTGCTTTGTGAATGTGGTCACAGAGGTCGTTAATTGGTGCAACGGACGCGTCCCAATGCCGTGCTCTGCCTTTCACCGGGCTCCGGAAACCCTTTTCCTCTGCATACCTCGCGTGGTGCGTGTGGCCGTGAGCGCGTGCAGCATATTGGCGAACCGGCTGTCAGCGGCGCGGTCCAAGGAGCGCAAGACGAGGTACATCATGGAGCTGGAGGAGAAGCTCGCCGCGTACGAGAAGCAGGCGCACGCACTCAAGGCCACGCTCTCCATCCTGCAGGTCGCCCCTCTCGCCTTGCCTCCTCGCCGCAACTTTGTTGCTCTGTAGTTATTTCCCGTTTTTCCCCGTTTTTCCCGTTCCTTTTTCTATTCCCCCCCCTCCCCACACCGCACTACTCCTCGCCCTTAAAGCACACGCTTGGTTGTATTATGGTAGTTTAGGGTTTCTCGCACGGCTAAGGGGGAAAAAGACAAACATGGATGTTTTGTGCCTCATGCCACACGCTTCACCCTCGCAGAGGGAGACGACATCACTGGCAGAAGCGAATGATGGCATGACGAAGAAGCTGCAGCTGCTGGAGCAGCTGTACCAGCAGAGCGAAGGCAAGTGTCACGTGATGAGATGAGCTCGCTGTTCCCCCTTTTCACTCTCCATTCATTGCCATTGCGTGTGAAGCCCACTCCAGGGTATCTCATCCATTGACGTATTCCCCTGGGCTTCACCTTGCTTGTCTGTCCTGCGGTGCATGGCGTGTGTGTGTGTGTGTGCAGTGGAGAACAAGCACTTGCACGACCAGGTGGAGATGCTGCGAACAGCAGCCGGCTTGCCACCACTCTCCCAGTTCCCCAACACTGCTGCCGCCTCCAATTCCCTTGCTCTTGCTACTGCTGCTGCCGGTGCCCAAGGGCCGCCCTCCCCGCTCTCCCCCCACCAGCCCGCAGCTTCACTTGATGGTCAGCTCGGCCAGCTGCTAAAGCTCCTGCAAGGCCAGCCTCAAGCTGTACAGGCACTTTTGGCTGCTCAGCAACAGCAGCAGCAGCAGCAACAGCAGCAGCAGCATCAACAGCAGCAGCAGCAACAACAGCAGCAGCAGCAGCAACAACAGCAGCAGCAACAGCAGCAGCTTTTGGCTTTGTTGCAGCAACAGCAGCAGCAGCAGCAACAGCAGCAGCAGCAGCAACCCAACATGTTGTTAGGTCAGGGTCAGCAGCAGCAGGGTCAGCAGCAACCGTCATCTCTCTTTTTGAACCGCAGCCTCTTTAACAATCTCTCATGAGTGTTACGCAACTCTCACCGACCACAAATGCCTGATGTAGAATGTAAATGCAGGAACTGGCCGAAACATTGGGCGTGGCAAGTATGGGAGCTTATGGGGGTGTGCATAAAGACGGCTCATCGTCTTGCTGTGCCGCCACTGACAGCTCTTCATTATGGTTGATGCTGTCTAGCTGTGCTGGCCATGTCTTAGCCAACTGCAAGCAGTGGATGTCATTGGGTGTGCGAGTGTGAGAGAAGGGAGCTGATAACTCTTATGGCTGGGTTATTGAGGGTAGGGGGTTGAAATTCCTTGAGTGCGCAGTTGAGACGGAAGGGGACTGATGAGACCCCTTGGGTCTTGGGTGGGTGGGTGGTGAGAGGGAAGCGGGCCGACCGAGACCTTGATTGGCTGAGGGGAAAAGGGTGCAGTAATCCCTTTGGTGGATCAATGGAAAGGAAAGGGGGCTTCAACCCCCAGGGTGGGCGAGTGGAGGCACATGCTGAATGGAAGGGTCAGAGCAGGAAGCTGTGTAGCATGCTTGTGTTGACAGTTCATACATGCCTCTGCTGGTGCATGGTGACGCCTGGTGTATGTGGTGTCCTATCCCCTTGGCATATTTTTCACTAGCCATGATGTTAGCAGGCTGGGCAAGGGTATATGTGGTCACAAAATATGACTAGCGAAGTTTAGGTGGTCTACTTTCCTGTCTGATATGCTGCAATGACTGACTGAGAAGTTTTGTCTCCTGTGACTGAACATAAAAGACATATTGAGAAAGCTTGCTTCTGTAGCAATTGGCATCGTTCTCATTACAATGGCAATTTGCATCGTTCTCATTACAATGGGCTCAAGTACAATAGTCCCTAGCAGTAATATAGTTGTAAGAACAAAACAAGATGTGTAAGAACTACTACTTTGCAAGGGTGACTAGCCTGGGGAGGGTGGGTGGGAATTGAACTTGAGCGATTGTAAAAATGAGAGACGTGGGTGGGGGAAGAATGACCCCAACCCACATTATATATTCGGAGAAGGCGAATAGCGTGCTTCGACGATGCTCAAAATTGCGTTACAGTCAGCTTCGCTTTCACAATACACAAATTTGAAAGCGATGAACGCTTAGAAATTTTTCATATTGAGAAAGCTTGCTTCTGTAGCAATTGGCATCGTTCTCATTACAATGGGTCACGCTGAGACATGTGCAAGGGTGCTTGACGGTGGCGCTTGAGAGCTCTAGAGTGTTGTGCTGGTGACGGCGCAAGAGCCGTTGATTGGAGGTTGCGAGAGGCCTCAATCAGGCGATCGGCGGTGGGTGTGACATACATTTCCTTGGCTGATTCACTGCGCCAACGGCCAAGCTGTTTGAAGAGTCGATCCTCGATTCCTGCATTTGCTGCTACAGTTGCTGCTCCTTTGCGAAAGGAGTGGGTACCAAGAGCATGGTCACCAAGGCCGATGGCGAGAAAAGCTTCCTTGCACCAATTGCGTATGGTGGTGTACGACGGTGGTTTGACCGGGAGTGAGCCTTTCGTAGCCGAACCGAAGACTCGGATTAATGGCCCTGGTGTGGAAGGACCATATCTTGCCAGTTGGATGAATCGCTTGGTGCATCGAACGGGGCAGAAGGGTCCCTGACTTGCGGCAATAGGCACTCATGCGCCCTTCGCCTCTTGGTCCGTCTTTGAGCGCGGGATGAGTAGCCACATGACATCGTCTTCAAACTGGATATCGTTCCAGCAGATGGAGGCGAGATCCGAATACCGCAGGAAACCGGCGTACATGAGAAGTGGTATGAGTCCTTTTTGAAAGGTGGACGGGTCGTCCGAACCAATGAAGTGTGCGGCCATGGCGTGCACTTGGTGAAGAGACACTGGTTCTTTGGTCCTGTGGGGCCGAGGGCAGTGGCGCTTCGCAAATTCTCGGACTTGAGATGTCATTGGGCCGATAGTTGGGCAAGCAGCCCCAATCATGCGGTGGGCGAAACCAACCGCCGAACAAGTGAGTTGCACCACTGAGAAGGTGGCTTGGTGGCGAATGGCGTAAACGAGGTACCGTCATCGCCCGGATATAAGACATATATGTCTTATCTCATACACTAAAAAAAATGCTTGGGTTATCTTGTATTTGGGGAGGTTTTGGGTGTCTTATAAGTCTTATAAATGGAAACCTTTTTAAACTACTTAGAAATATTTTCACACATCTTGAAAAGAGTTTCTCATTATGAGTGTGGATGTTGCGAAGGTGCCACTTCGGCAACCATTGTTCGGGGTGCCACGTCATGGAGAATACTTGCAAAGGCAAATTTGGTAGTACGTGAGTCAGCACGTGGCAGAATTCGCGTGTCGCAAGGGTAAAAATGTACGCGGTACTTCAATTTTCACTATAATATATTGCAGTTTCGATTATAAGACACATATGTCTTATCTCGTACACACAAATAGGTGTCTTATAATGAGGCTAGCCTGTTTATAAGAGACACCCGTATAATAGACAACCCCTGTCTACTATTCAACACTGTCTTATATCCGGGTGATGACGGTATAGGGCGAGTGTCATATCTCGTGCAGGTAGCTTAGCCTTGATGCAGAATGAACGGAACTGCTGCCAGTATGGTTCGTAAGTCTTGATCGTAGATTCCGCACGCGTTTGCAGCATCATAGAGAGCAATTTGCTCTGCAGCGAGCGAAGTAACCCTGAAGCGATCAGAGAGGGCGCGAGCAATGTGTTAGCGGAAGGATATGCGCAGGGCCATCATCATGCTATGGGGGAGGCCGGAACCCGAGAATGCGGTGGTGTGCGTGCCAGGTGCAAGGCATTGGCTTCCATGAGTAAGTTTCAAGGAGTCACGGATCTGCGAGGCCCAGGCGGGCGGCGAGGGTTGAAGAAGAGGCCACCAGCTAGCCCCAGGCCAGAAGGGAACGATGAGTGTCAGTGAGGCTGCTGTCCTCTGTGCGTGGTGAAGGACTGCCGGGATCAATTGTGGCGGTGGAAAAGCGAAGCCATGTTCAGCAACCCAGGATAGCGTGAAGGAGTTGATCGCTATCGCCTTAGGATGTGGGTGTTCGCAGCAGAATCGGGGGAGTTTGGCATTCGCAGCGCTGGCAAAGAGATCTATAGAGTGTGGCCCCCATCGCCTCTCGAGAAGGTTAAACCATGGTGCCTTCAGGGTGTAGTCGTCTCTGTCGAGAGTCTTCGAGAGCTCATCCGCGAGCGTGTTAAGCTCGCGGGGGATCCATTCCATGATCAAGCGAATGCGATGAGTCATGCAGATGCGGATGATGCCTTTGCAAGTGGTAGTGAGTGAGCTGTTGCGTGACCCAGCCTTTTTTAGGGTCTAGAATACACCCTGGTTGTCGACACGCACGAGCACATGCCTGTTCTGGATGAAGCCGGTGAAAGTTTGAAGTGCCCAAAACACCCCCTCTAACTCACGACGAGTACTTGAAGTGCAAAGTAATTCCTGGGGCATGTTCGAGCAGGCCTTGTGAACGCCCGTGGAGAACATGTCGAGTGTGCCCCCCCAACTGTGTGCGCTGGCGTCGACATGGATGATTGCATCGTAGCTACCTCGAACATGAAATGGGGCGCCATTGAAGTGGTCGAACTCAGTTGACCAGAACTCCAACTCTTCGCATGCGCTCGGGGACAGCGACACCCTGCTGTTCCATGACGAGGCGTCGTTGATGGTTTGTAGTAGTGCATGACTGAATGCTCTCGCTGTCGCCCCAAGGGCAAGGGTCATGGAGGCGAGCATGCCTGTGACACGTGCGACGTGCCGTACAGGGACTTTGTGCTGTGCGCGTCCTGCTTCCAATAATCAAACAATGGTTGATTGCAAGACACTTCGTCGCTCGTTGCCGACAGAAAATTGTCCACACCGGGTATCGAGCTCCAATCCTAGGAATCGTAGCTGCTGAGTCGGCTCGAGATGCGACTTTTTGGCGTTGATCACGAGTCCAGCTTCTCTTAGGTCGTTGATTGTGCAGATGCGGACGTCCCGGGCCTCAACTTCTGTGTGGCACAAGAAGAGGATGTCATCCACATATGGGATGACGCGGACCCCTTTTGCTCGCCATCGCCGTGCCAACTGTTTAATCAATTGAGTGAAGACGAAGGGCACCGTTTCTAGTCCGAACGGAAGTGATCGGAAGCAGTATGAGCGCCCCTCAAACTGAAAAACCCAAGAATTTCCAACAGAACGCGTGGATGTCAACGTGGTGGTAGCCTGACTTGAGATCAATTGAAAACATCCAATCACCCGGATGTGCTAGTTCCGACACGCGAGAAAGTCCTTCGTACTTAAACTTCGGAATGCAAAGCTCGCTATTAACTTTGCGTAGATCCAGGATGAGACGACATTTGTCTCGCTGCTCGACGACGTTGAGAGGACTGATGCATACCAGCTCCGACGTTGGTACCTCGATTGCTGCTCCGGTTCGAAGTGTCAGAATGTTATTCTCTAGCCTGTAGTGGGGTGCTCTATAGCGAGTACAACCCATCTAGGGTTTGCTATATGTATCCTCATTGCTGCTAGTGAAAAGCCCTCTCTTTTGCCTAAACTGTTTCTTGCCTAGCTAGGACTCTCCTAGCTATGGCTCCTGATCCTAACTCTGCCTACTATACACACTATCTTCACTTGGTATCAGAGCACATACGCTCCTGGCCTGTGGGCCCTCCTACTGCTTCCGCTGCCCTACGCTGTGTCGCGCGCCCCGTGGTGCGCGGCCTCTTATTTTTCATCCCGCCGCGCGCTCGGGGCACGCGGCGGTTTTCTGCCCGCCGTGCGCCCCGAGGCGCGCGGCGGTTTACTGCTGTGGGGGAGCCAGCGCGCGCCCCGCCCGTCCGTCGCGGAGCCCTGGGGAGCACGCGCGGCCCCCCGCCCTGCCCGTCGCGGCGCGCTGGGGAGCCCGCGAGCCCCCCGTCCGTCCGTCGCGACGCCCTCGGGAGCCCGCGAGCGCCCCGCCCGTCGGTCGCGACGCACTTGGGAGCCAGCGGGCGCCCTGCGTGGTCGTCGCGACGTCCTGGGGAGGCCGCGCGCGCCCCGTCAGCTCGTCGCGGCGCCCTCGGGAGGCCGCGCGCGCCCCGCCAGGCCGTCGCGGCGCCCTGGGGAGCCGCGCGCGCGTCCCCCCCGCCCGTCCGTCGCGGCGCCCAGGGGAGCAGCGCGCGCCACGCCCCTTCCCTCG